TTTTTCGGTCGCTACCCGGATTCGAACCCGGAACCTTTGAATGAGAGGCCAACACCCTAACCTCTAGGCCACGAGAGCCCCCTTCAGAGTTTAGATGACTTCATCTATTCTGCCCAGGTCTCTCTAGGTCGCCCTCTTGATGGTTCCCTGTTGAATTTCATGGTGTGCGCCCCTTGTGCTACATGTATGTTGATGGTGGTGTGAGATGGCCCAACCACTTGATTCTTGGATGTTTGAAGTTATGCTTTACAGCGTGATGGAATCAGACTCTCGTCAATTTTGGAGCATGTAGAGTTATTGGTATCATCTTAAAGCTTATTCACTTGTCTTTATTTTGATGAAAAAGATATCCATTTATCTTGAACACAAGTCGCGATATTTGTGAAAGAAGGGGGTGGGGGTCACGTGTTTTCAGAGTTAAATTAGTGAGAAAATGGCCGCCTAAGATTAGTTATTTCCTTAGCTTAAGAGTCCGTGGTAACAGAAAATTTATATTTTTGTGCCTTTTAATCTACGTTTTTCAGAAAAATCCACACTGAAATGAGTTTTTTAATGGGCGTAAAATGTGTTGAGATAAAAAAGAAAATGTTGATAAAAATTCACAAACCTGCGGAAAAATGCAAGTTTCTTCACTTTCATTATTTTGACGAGTGCCTGATTCCACCACGCTGCCTCACATTTGTGCCCACCATTTTTCTCATCTCTTTGTCTTTATTGTCATTTTGTTTCGCCTGATCTTGCTCCCTGTTTTCCTAAAGACATCCTAGTTTACAACTTGTTCTTCTTTATTCTAATGTCTTGTTCGTGGTTCGTGTTTGGCATTGACAGGTAAGTGTATGGATGTTGATCATTTTGGCTTTTGTCTTCATTGTTGTACAGAAGAAACGACATAATATAATGAGACGTTGATATGTTTCAGAAAAGTAAAGTTTATCTAAAATAAAGTTCAATGTTTCTCCCAAAATCAGGTCAGGCTTTTGGGATGTTAGGATCTTTCAGAAATGGAGCTATCTGATAACTGACGTTATTAACTGCTTTATCTACTCTTGCTTCCATTTCTCTAATTTAGTCATCTATCCCTCTGTGAATACATTTTAACTGTACTTGAATTTTCGGGCCCTTAGAGCCGTAAAGATGTACCCTTCTTGTGCGCTGTAAAACTATTGCCTTAGAAAAATAGAAAAAAAGTGAGAGGTGTTTATCTAAGTTTCAAAATCTCAAAATTGAACTTAAAAGAAATCAGAAGTTTCTCTACCCCTCCCCCCTTGCCTCCTGTCATCGCTAATGTTTTGCTGATGCTGATATTTGTGTCATATTCGCTATATTTAGCATTTAATTCAGTTGGGTGAGATGATGTGGTGCTGAAGGTTTTGTTCACCTTCGTGTGCAGACTATTATGATCATTATAATCAGTTGTAAGTAATTCATTCAAAGTGTCTTGTTCTCTGTTGACCTCCTTTGTGATTCTATTCAAACAAATGTTAAAGAAAAGAGTTTGGGGGACGAAACCTTTTGACAGTCCAGTTGCTGTCTTGAAACACTGAGTGAGTCCCTCTGAAGCTCTTACTGCGCTATGGCTGATCTTTTAGGGGCAGGTTGGGCCAAGGTATATGGGTTAACAAATCCTAACCCCGATGTCTAACTTTGAACCCCAAAGTCTGATCTACTGTAACTTCATCCCCTAACCCCTAAAATTACTTTAAAAATATTAACGCCTACCAGAATTTGAAATATGAATTCTAATGAAAGAGAAATGAAACATATTCCTTGATCAGTCTCCAATACTAATCAACAAATACCCTTAACATAATCGTAATTGCTAACCATAACTCGTTTCATATTGCGCTTTTAAAAAAAAATATTTTATGAACACAATGACTCTTTTACCCTCTATTGTTTAATTTGCTCCCTCTCGACTCAGGTTCGACAACCGGAAGTCAGAATCGTCTCACCCCCATGTTTCATAGGATTCGGAAGCGTGGCAAATGACAACAGCAGCAACAACAACAACAGCAACAACAACAAAAACAAAAACAACAGTAACAACAACAACAAAAGGGAGGCAGTGGCCCTGGCGAAGAGCACTCTTCTGGGCTCCGAACATTTCGAACGGATAGGCTACCACACACACACACACAACAACAATAACAACAAAAACAACAACAACAACAACAACAACCACAACAACAACAAAAACTACAACAGTAGCAACAGCAGCATTGGTATAAACAACAGTAACAAGAATATCAATCACACCAGCAGGGAAAAGAACAAAGGGTATAGCTGCATTTTATTGTTTTATTGACAAGTCAACAAAACAAAATCCCGCATTCAGTGGTTTCTCATTGTGTGCATTGATATAGTAGAAAACATCGTGTAGCGTCCAATGTATTTCAGTCTCTCTTTCTTTCTGCGATATGATTTCTTCTCCAGGTGATCTCAAACCGAATCATCGTCTCAACAAAACCCAAAATGGCGTGTCCCACTCTCTAGAAGAAGTCGGTGGTGGGAGGCGGTGATAGGTCAGGCAGCTTGGTTGTCTTGGGGGACTCCGGTCGTGTCGAAAGCCCCACATCCCGACACCGGTTATTCATTCCTGTCCAGGAAAAGGTGATGGTCAGTATAAGAAGACGTTGATGATAATATGAATTATATGAAAGGGTTGATGTTGTTGTTTTCAAATCCCTTTAGCTTAAGAAACAGACAAATACACCAAATATTAAGTACGAATTAATTACCTATGATAGGACGCAAAACCACAGGAGTTCAAGCAAAGCTTCACATTTTTTATAAAAATAGAAGTAATTTGCGTAACAGAAGGTTTGTGCTGACACAGTTTAACGTGCTGTTGAGCTTTGGATGATGTTCTATTTTCACATCTGCCAGGTTAGTTTGGTTTTGCTCAAAGTATACAAATAAACTTTAGTTGGGAACAATGTCCTTTAGTTTGCCTCGGGGCAGTTATTATATGTGAGGCAGCGTGGTGGAATCAGGCTCTCGTCAAAATAATCAAAGTGAAGAAACTTGCACTTTTCCGCATGTTTATGAATTTTTATCAAATTTTTGTTTTTTGGCTCAACACCTTTCATGCCCATTAAAGAACTCATTTCTGTGTGGATTTTTCTGAAAAACGTTGATTTAAGGCACAAAAAATGTAAATTTTCAGTTACCATAGACTCTAGCTAAGGAAATAACTAATCTTCGGCGGGCCATTTTCTCACTAATTTTACCTCTGAAAACAGGTGACCCCCACCTCCTTCATTCGCAAATATCTCGACTTGTATTCTACATGCACAAAAATTGGCGAGAGCCTGATTCCACCACGATGCCTCACATATAATATTTTGTTATTGTTTTAGTTCAGTTTCATCAGAATACTTTATTATATTTCTTTCAGTCCTATTACATGTTGTTTACCTTCTATAAAGCTGTTGAGATTGCTGTAGTGTAATTAATATTTTATCTCCGTCTTCTAAAAACTGACCCTCAACGTTTCCTGGACAAGAAGAAATCACGAGCGTCTCTGCATGTCGTCATTTTTTATCGAAACTCATGTCGTGTTGCTCTTTTCACGCTTTGATTTCATCACC